AAAAATGAGGTTATATATTTACAGTAAGTTTCGATAGTGTCAGTAGATCTTGAATAAGAACTGTAATCATATTATGTGAAAAAAGGTAATTAAAGAGTGAATTTTCCCACAAGTAAAATGGTAGGCCTAACGATTCTATTGAATTTAACTTGGTCGTATTTCCCAAGAGGTAATCTCATCTAGTCTCAGCATCATCTTGATAGTAATAGCATCCCCAAAGCTAATTGAAAATCCCGCTAATAAATGTGCCGTATATAAGATGTCTGGCTTGTATTCAGATTCCGTCTGCTCTGTGACCCATCGGAAATCGTGGAAACGTGGTGCAGTGGTAACATGTTATAGTTATATGCTGAACTAGCAGGATTCAATTTCCGTTTGAGATATTCTTCAGACTCAAGCGAAGTTGTTTCCACGTAATCACTCCACTAAGCAATCAGAGTATAAATGTTACTTAAAACAAGTTAAGCCTATATTAAATCGCATTAATGGAGAAAGTTTGAGAGGAGACAGGTATATGCCATTTTAATAGACAATATTACATATTTTCGATGCTAGTAGGTTTCAAAATTATCAGCAATTCTTGAATATCAACTTACTCAAGAAGTACTGATAATATTAAAAGATACACAGAAAATTGCATGTATTATTAAGATATCCGATACTGTTTATGATCATAAAAACAAATAATTTTAAAAATTGGCTGCTGATCAAAAGAATTTACTATGGTGCTCATTTCGCTCATTGTCTTCATCATTCAAATAATCGATTTGTCTATCATAAGCCCTCACCCTCAAGTCGATTTGAAGAACACCGGGAGATTCTGCGCCTGGTTCACTCGAGGTCGTACTCATAGAAATTGCATTAGATGGTCCAGAGACTGGAGTTATCCGGCCTTCTGGCACATTGTCATCAAGACTACCGATATCAGCTGTTGCCATACAGGTACTTATCCCATTGTCTAATAAGTTGCTAACAGGCTGAGAGGTCATCAAAGAGGGTGATTTTCCGAGAACTTCACTACGTTCTCCGACTTTAGCAGCAGAAATAAAGGGATCGTTCTGACGAGCAGCATTGACTTGTGCTCCAGGAGAGTCGACATGGAGCGAACTACTGGAAGCAGGGGAGGTAACCACGCAAGATATTCCTGAATATGTTGCTCCTACATCATCGTCTTCATTTCTCACGTCTTTGACTACCCTTCCGATCACCGAGGCAGGGCCAGAAGCGACAGCGTCATCTGTGGCAGCAACAGTTTCAGTTGAAGACATAAGGCGAGCCTGCTTTGTAGGAGGGCCAGTAGCTGAGAGAGCAGTAGTGGCCTGGCCCAAAGCGGCTGTAAAATGCCCAGGCTCCGATAACAGACAGCAAGATGGTCGTTCGCGCTTTTTTAATGGAACAGAGTTGACACCACTATGATTTAGTCCCGTGGAGGAGCAAGTGATCGAGGAAGAGACCTGTGGCAGGAAATCTGAGAGACCTATGAGCATAAAATGAAGAATGTGTAAGATAAAGCAATGATAGCAATGGGAGAAAGCATGGTACATAACAGTAGTCTATTGGTGGGTCATAGAACGCGAACGTTAGAGG